AGACATGGTCAGAGAAATTCATTTTATGATCACCTCTTGGTATCACCAACCTCAGGGGAGAGTGCTGTAGCTTGCATTATGTAAAGAGACTGCCAATAAATGCTCTGGACACTTAATCTCCACTAGCTTCTTTGCTGGCAAAAAAAAAAAAAAAATCTTCTCTTGGGTGGCATGTCTTCTTTGGGGTATGGAACCTTCACAGACATCACCCTATGCATGTCTTCTTTATACTGACCTTCCTTTGTAGCTGTTACAGTAAAGCTGTAAGCATAGTGTTTTCCATGAGTTTTGGTGGGGATACATTTTGAAGCAGTTTGGCAGTACATCTTAGAATTTGTAAACACTCATGAGAGAACAAAAGCATTCCTGACATCCAGTAGCTGGCCTAGCACTCATAGCTGGGCCTTAGTGTTCTCTTGTCGAATATAAGTAATTCCAGAGAACATTAACATCAGATAAGGATAATCTGTGACTTTGATGTATCAAGACAGAAAAATAAGACCACTCTCTAATCATGTTTGAATACAGAAAAAAAAAAAAAAAAACCACTATCTCATCTGCTTGAACAATTTCTTTAGAAAGATCTGCACGAGGCCGGTCCTCATGAGGCGAAGGTCAAAGATGTCCCAAATGTCCAAACTACCATGCCACTCCCTCATTTCAGACATTAACTCCTCCTCCTCCTCCCAATAATTTCCCCAGTCTTAGGCTTCTGTATTTTGCTGTAATGCCTCACAGAACTCACAGACACCCAAGGGTTCGTCTCACGTAGTAGTGGTGGAGGCTGGCAGGCTGGCAAGTCCCGGGTCCGTGAGTAGGTCTAGCGGATCCTCCCAACTCTCGGTGTTTGATGAACCTCAATCAGCAGATCAGATGATGGCTGCTGTCCCAAATCCAGGGGTGAGATGAGGATGATCCAAGACACAAAGCCAGAGCAAGAGGAGAGCACATCTTCCCAGGAGATTCGTAGGTATACCCTCAGGGAAGCTAAGGGTGGTGATTTGAATTATACCCTCCAGCAAGGCAGGACTCAAGATACATTCCACCTGTGTTGCCCCAACAGAAATAACCTAAATCCCATCACAGAGTCGATTGCCAGTCATTATAGGGAATGACTACTACCAGCTGCCCAGCCAAGTTAATACCTGATCTTAACTACCACACCACCCCAAATAGGCACAGATAATGGGATTTACAAAACACCACAGAATGGAGGACAATGGCTAGAAGGGCCACATCAAGCAATTCACTGCACCATCCAATCCAGAGCAAGGGCCCATTATCTTTAAACCCTTCCCAAAATCACCTAACACAAGCCCAAATTCTGTAATATTTAACAGCTTCCTACTGAGACACTTCATGGTTCCCCGCAGTGTGTGTGTGTTCTCCTTCACTCCAAGGAGTAATAAACTTGTTTGAACAAAGGCATGTTCCTGGTGGTTGCTGGCTGGAGGACATTTCCATTCCTGACAAAGTAGTTCCACTTCAAGAAATTTATCATACAGAAGTATTCAAATAAATGTGAAGAACTCTAACAGGAAAAAAAAGATGCTCATCACCAAGGGACAAATACAGCCAATATAATGTGGTACAGCCATATAAAAGATTTTTTTCTAGCTGTTAAATGTTCCTGAAGTAAATTAAAGGAGACTTAAAAAAATAGAGCCACATTTTGTTCATGGATCAGGAGACTCAGTATTACTAAGATGCCCATTCTCCCCAAAGTGATGTATTGATTCAAATCTATCCCAATCAAGATCCTAGCAGTTGTCTTTGTATAAATTGATAAGCCAATTCTAAACTGCATATGGAAAGGGAAGAGGCAAACTTGCCAAAATAACTTTGGAAAAAAGTTATTTCAAGACTTACTATGAAGGTTCTGTAATTGAGAGCATCAAGATAGACAAGTAGAACAATGGAACATGAAGAGGAAGGGCCCAGAGACAGACCCTATATGCACAGACAACTGACTTTTGACAAAGGTACAGAGCCAACTCAGTGGAAAAGTCTTTTAAGAAAGTGGTGCTGAAACATTTGCCCAAAATGAACTTTGATGCATAACTCACATCACATATAAACATTAACTCAAATTGGGCCATAGCCTTCAATGTCAAAGCTGAAACTATAGAAGTAAATCAAGGAGAAAACCTTTATGACCTGGGTTATGTAAAATCCCTTATGTGAACCAACCGGTAAAAGAAAAAAAAAAATTCTTGATAAAATGAAAAACCTCTTCTCTTCAAAAGACACTCTAAAGACAATTTTTTAAAAGAAAACCACAGGCTGGGAAAAAAATATCTACAAAACATATATCTGATGAGGGACTTGCATTCAGAATATATAAAAAGTTCTGAAAAGTCAACAATAAGAAAACCACCCTTTTGTTGTTAATGGGCAAAAGATTTACACATATTCTTCACTGAACATGTATGGATGGCAAACATGCATATGAAAAGAAGTTCAACATCATTAGTTATTAGAGAAAGGCAAATTAAAACCACAAGGAGATATGGCTAAATAAAAAAAGACTGACCATATGGACTGTTATCAAGGAGATAGAGGAAATACACACAGCTTGTGGGAATGTAAAATGGCACAACCACTTTGGAAAATGAAAAGGTAAATGTACACCTACTATAGCAGCCAGTCATTCCACTCCCAGTTATTGACTCAAGAGAATTAAATGTCTACAAATGTTTCTACCAGCTCTATTTATGAAAATTCTCCCAAAGCTAGAAACCACTCAAATCTCCATCAACAGGTGAACAAACAAACAGAATGTAGTATATGGGACACTACTTGGCAAGAGAGTGCTACCAAAGGGCATGAAGAAGCTTTTTGGGGTGATGGATATGGTCACTATCTTGACTGTGGTGATGTGTTCGTGCATGGATACCTATGTCCAAACTTTTCAGTTATGTGCACTTTAGAATCTGTCAGTTATACCTCAATAAAGCTATTAAATAAAAAGCACATGACAGTCGTGTGTAATACTGAATTAGGAAAGCAACTCAGAGGGAAAGGGAAATTGCAATTTTGCTAAAGAACAAATCTGTGTACATGTGTATCAGAAAATATGCAGAGAAAAAGTTGGAGACTGTATACCAACTGTGAACACAGGAAAAACAATACACGATTCAAAAATGTGCTGTAGAAGTGGATTTATTGACGGAAAGCTCTCCACAGTATACTGTTAGACAAAAAGCAAGTTACAAACAGTAATTAGAGTATGATTTCCTTCCACTAACCCTGTAAAAGTTAAAGGCGTAGAATCCAATATTTTCACACACATAGACTTTGTCTTTAGCTCAGAGGACGGGTTGTACTTCCCAGCATAAGACATACAGAACTCAGCCATAGGCCAAAACTCCTGGGAATGATTTCTGGACCATACAGACTGCCAGAAATCACTATCTTGTGGGTGGAGGCAGCAGCCCCTCCTCCTCCGTTTCTTGTTCTGTGTTGCTGAAGCTGTAGGTCTCGGTCTCAGTACCTGCCATTAAGTTTCCTCATACAGCTTTAGCTCATACAAGTGCAGAAAGCAGGCTTCCTCCAGCCTTCCAAATGACGCCCACCTCAAACAAAACAAAGGATGATTCTACAGTCGCCTTTGTGAATGCAAGCTATGAAACAATGTACAGAGTTATCCCAGTTCTTTGGGAACAATGCATATGGATAGGGAAGGATAGAGGGAAAGTTTCACTTCCTGATCACTCTCAATCTGCATCTTACTCATTAAGCAATGTTTTGGACGCCTACTGTTTCCTAGCACTGCCGGACAAATCTCCACGTTCATCCAAGACTTTCCTGCTGATCTTCAGCCAGGTGGAGCCAAAAGCCAAATGGGCATGCCCACGTGGAGGAAGTTGAATATATTAAGAATTAGAAGCCTGGCAGGGCTGTCACACACAGGAGAACTGAGCCATGAAACCCTAATAGCCCCTGAGCCTTGAAGACCACCACATAAAAAAGTGAAGGGGGACTGTAAGGTAGTGTGGAGAAAGTGGGTTTTGGTGTCTGACAAACATGGTCATCACAGAAAACAGCTATGTCGTTTGCCAGCTGTGGGGATCTAGGAAAAACAGTAACCACTAATTCTCACTGGAGGGTACCCAAAATAATGATTTATATGAGAGAAAATACTGGTAGTCTAGGTAGTCTATCTCACAGGATTATTGTGTGTGTGTGTGTGTGTGTGTGTGTGAGTGAGAGAGAGACAGAGAGAGAGAAAGAATCTGTAAAATAGAGCACCAACAGTTTGTGACATGGAGTAAGCACTAAGAAAATGTTTGCTCTGTAAACCTAACTCCCTTCTTTTCTGTAAGAGCTGACTCTGACATAAATCAAATACCCTGACAATATAAGAGGTACAAACGTAGTACCAAAATAATAAATAAACAATCAACTTTCGACTGAAATTCAGGTCCATTTCTGTGTTGTAGAATCAGTTGTGTGATACAGCTGGAACAGGAAAACCTTTGACATTAAACAGTCCATACTACAGCCATCCCTGCTTCAAGCATAGACAGGGCACAGTGGGCAATAAGCAGATATGCTGCAGGCACTGTTGCTAATATTTTTGGGTGTATGCCGTATTTCTACAACTAGATTATCAACTCAAAGCTTTTTTGCTTGCTTGCTTTTTTGCTTTTTTTTTTTTGCCACATGAAGTCACAAATGGATCTATGTAGGTACTAATTGAGCAAGCTACCTTAAGTACAATGTTGGTTCACAATTTACTTAGGAAACTGTTAAAATCCCAAACTAGACAACACAAAAATCAACAGGCATGTTCAGCTCAAGAGGAAATAGTCACTTGATACACAAAATATGGACTAGCTCAAGCCCAAAGACTATCACAAGTAACATCATGTTAAACATGTACTTTATAAGGGGCACACTGTAATAGCCAAAGCATTATATGCAAGGGCCTTTGGGAACATACAGCCTATTAAAGTTTGGAGACTGTTCCAAGTTTTCTCGTTTATTTCTGGTTCCTTTTATAATTTTTCAATGATCATCTTCACTTCACGGAACATGGCCTTGAGCTCATTATAACTCAAGGGGTTAATGACTATAATCGATCCCTTTCTGATATGCTCCTTTATGTTAATAAAGATGGCCACAGCACTCACAAGATTGGCTTTGGCCTCCTTCTGGTTGAAGATGAGTTTTAATACTGATAACGACTCAATATCAATCATGTCTCTTGCTGCAATTGGATTTTCAGACATATTCAAAAGTACTTTCAAAAGAAGGTTTCGGGTTTTACGATTTCCCGTGGCTAGGATATGGAAAAGCTCTGTCAGGTAACTGGCAACAATGTAGTGGTAGTCAGAATCAACAGACAGTTTCCCTAACTCCTTTAATGCACTTCGCTGTCCAGGTGAGTTCAAGGGAAAAGACACCGTGTCCTTACACATATGCACAACATGTAGTTCAACCATACACTGTCTTTCATACTCAGAAATGGGATTCAGAGTAATCTCAGCCTTTTTGGTCACGTCAGGGGATTCAAAACCGAGCAAGCTGTCAATAACTGTCAGCACACCCAGATCATTAATGAACTGCTGGGCAAATGGATGAACTTTAATGATGCCCATTGCAATCTGAGCTATTTTATGAATGATAGGATCGGTATTCGACTCAAGCAAGCTAACCAGTTTTTCAAAGTCCTCAGAATCCAGGCAGGATTCCATTTTGCAAGGGCAAGAAAATGGCTTGATGCCATGCATCTTCCTGATCTTGATCTGGCGTCTGATCGCCTCGATGGTCTGAGTGCAGATCTCAGAATTAAATGGGTGCTCCTGCACAGACTCCAGGCTTATGGTAGTGCCCTCGCAAAGACCGATGTCTGTTACTGGCACAGAGGGGCTGCTTTTCCTGTCTGAGGACAGGGCAATGTAAGAAAGAGGCCTTGTCCTAATTGGGATCTGGGTTGCAAATGCTAATAATGCTGGGATTAGAGCAGGGTCGTTGGACAGGTTGTTTACATCAATTTGACACCCAACTCGGGGCTTAGGTATCCTGTACACGGGTTTAGGGTCAGGGTCAAAACTAGTATCATCTCCATCCCAAAACCACTTCCCAATAACGTCTTCTCCATCCTCCTCCTCCTCCTCCTCTTCCCCTTCCTCTGCCCCTGCCCGAGGCCGGCAGCTGGCCCCAGTCACAGGCTCTACACCCACCTCCTCAACACAGGACCAGGCACCAACATCACCTTCATCTTTATACTGAGCATCGGACCCATCACTAGCCTCGTCCCCATTCCAGAACCAGGAACCAATACTGGCCTCTTCCCCAGCCCAGAACCAGGCATCTACAGCAGTCTCATCCTCATGTGCGGTCGTGGAGGTAGCACTGGCCTCAGCCACAGAAGAAAAACAAGACATCATAGTGGCCTCGTGCTCAGCCCTGGGACCAAAGTCTGTATTCCTCTCCTCCCCTAACTTGGCCCAGGATCTAGGCATAGCCTTAACCATGGTTTTGCCCAGAGCCTTGGGCTCTGACAGGCCTCTTTCCTTCATCTCAGCAGCAACCTTATTCTTAGACACACCTTTCACCTGTGTTACAGCATCCATCTCAAACCCTGCCTCGGCCTGGGTCTTGACTTTACGGCTGGCTATGAGTGTAGCTTTCCTCTCTGCTTTAGCCTCTACAGCAGCCCCTTTTCCAGTTTTAGCCTGATTCTTAGACATGTCAGAAGTCTAGTTGTATAGCTCTATTCAGTATTCGCCTGGGTACTTAACCTGCCCCAGGTCAGTCAGTGTTTAACACTCTTTCACTGGGTCAGGCTATAGCTTGGAAGCACGAGTTAGAGTCAACTGTTAAAAGTCCCAGAGTCCCCTCTCCAAACACAAAGCCTCTGTGAATGATACAGAGGGCAGAGGCACACTCAGGCTGGAGGAAGATGGTGGCTCCCGGGTGCAGAGGAATGCGGCGGAGAGTGACGGTCTTCTGCCACTCCAAGGCCACCACAGCTACCACTGGAGATGGACCTGAGTTGGAAGAACAAAATGGGGCTTTGAGTCTCCTGCAATTCTACTACTCTTGGCAGAAAGTCACACAGAAGCACGTGAAAGGGTAAAATGGCTGTGTGTTACAAGCAGATTAGCAGAAAACCCTGCTTCCTCATTGTATCCCTCCCACACTCCCACTAATGCCAAGCAATATCATCCCCAGCACCCACCACACTCTTTTCTCTGCATCAAACAGGA